CAGTCAGGTATTACTGATAGAGGCCCCGATGCTAGCAAAGAATCCATCTTTCCTGTGCCTCTTTTTTTTCTCCTTTGATTTTTTTATGATATCATATTCTTCTGATTTCTAGAAACTGATAATAACTAGTCCAAACTTCCACAAAGAATTATCTTGTCGTTTCCAATAGACAAAACCATCTTCTATCTTTGTTGCTTCTTGAAGGTTTTTCTCTAGAAGCCAAACTCCTAGGCCCTCCATGCCAGCTTACCTTACTAGTCTCCTTCCTACCTCCTCCAGCTTTTCTTCTGAATTACAATATCTGTGGCTTTTCACACTGTGTTCTGGTAGCATTTGCCTTTCCACAGTTTTTGGTGATTGCTTCTTTCTCTCTCCTCAAATCGCGGATTCCTGAAACTGTTATGCTTGTACCTGATAAAACATTTAATTACCTATTACTTACATTTCCTAATTCCTACAGGTCAGGATCTTTTGACATGTATCCAACTGTTCTGCAGGGTGATTTTCTATGTAGCCAGTTACCTTGGAACCCTGTGTCTCTCTGTAGCCCTAGAGCACAGCAAGGGGCACGTGAAGGGGCTGGGCTTTCTTGGTCCCAAACTATGAGGTGGGTGTGATTTGGTCTGTACTTGGCTGGAGCAGTAGAATTCAACCTGCATCACCAACTGTCTCCCTGGAGCTGGGTGGGGGGGAGAGGAGTGCCTGGAGCAATGCATACTGGGATACTGGAGAACAGTGCTGAGGATACAAGGGTAAGTGTACAGGCATTCACGTACAGAAATTCTCCAGGGAGCAACTTCTACTGGGTTGGAAATGTTTTTTTTTCCTCCCAGAGCTAGTTTTTTGCTCCAGGAGAAACTGTGAGAACATTTGTGTACTCGTGGTTTCTACTAGGACAGCAGTGATTCTTCCAGTAGAACCCTAATGCCTGTGCATAGTTATAGTATCATTCTCTGTGAGTCTAACTTAAATATCTATATTAAAAACAGAACTGAAATGTCTTTGTTTGCTAGGTCATATTACAGATCTTACTGCTACAGAATGTGTTTTCCTTGATATTCTGAACACCGATATTCTGATTGCAGCAAGTCTTTGCATTAGTATTTGTACAAAACTTTGAACACTTGCAGCCACATCATGGGTTTCTGGTTGTGTTGTGATGTCAGCTTCTGTTGTGATGTCAACTTCAAGTCTACAAGAATAACAAGCAAAAAGGGTCACAGTTAGCTTTTCTCCTTAGCTACCTTCCTAGAGATATAACCCCTTCACTTTTCTTAACTTAATGGCCTGCTACTTTGCTGCTCTTGTCCTGCAATCTTCAGAGCATATGGGGTGGCCCCTCCCTTCTCAAGACAAATGTTTCATTGTAGGTAAAATGGAATGAATGAAAGAAGAGGTGTTGGTTATAGCTGTGTTGGTCTAAGGACATGGGCAGACAAGATTCTTTGGGTAAATGCAATATCTTGTATTGGGTCAACTAAATACTTGGAAAAATTGTTCTTTGCAAGATTTCAGACACAAACACCCTTCTTCAGGCATAGGGAGAGTGTGCTGGTGTTTGTGTGCTCTCCTGCGTGGAATAGATGCCAGTATTCAAAATGCAGGTCTGTGAAAAAGAAAATGCATAGAAGTAAAGATCAGAGGGGATGGGAGACCATAGGTGCAAGAAAGGTAGGTGATGGGAAAAGTGGGGAATGTTGACCTGGTTATAGACTGTAGCTGGTAAAATGTATAGAGGGTACCTGAAGTTACCAGGTGGCAGGCAGGTTATCCAATACCTATATTTAGTCCATGATTTTTGTATCTGTTAGATTTATGTAGTGAAGTTCGTAGGCTTATCTACAAAGGTATTTTATAAATTCCCTTTGAGGCTTAGAACAGAGAGATTGGAGAGAGAGTGGTTGTCTTGTGAGAAGTGTGCACCCACAGGTAATTGAGTATTTTTGTTTTTAAAATCAAACAACAACTGAATACCAGAGTGAATGCACACCGAAAATCTGTCAAAGACTTTTGTGCCCAAAAGCTTTCAAAGAATAATTTTTCCAACTATTTTGTTGGTCTAATAAAAGATAATCACATTTACACAAAGAATCTGGTCTGCCTATGAATAAATGTTAAAAACAGATTTTTAAAAAAAGTTTTGCATTATGAACTCTTACGCCCCCCCAAACCAAATTAAATTAATTTTATTCCAAAAAAAAGAATATTTTTTCAGTTTTTTTGGTCCAGGAGCCAAACCAGACCAATTATTTGTACAGCCCTGAGTATTACAGTATTATAGTTGTAGTATATTTGGTTTTCCTGAAGGCATACCATATAGCATTTTGATTTAAAAGCTCGCTATGTATGACATGATTAAGGCACACGTTAGATGAATTAAAAAGTAGCTCACTAGGTTTTAGAATGAAATGGCCTAATGGAAAGACATCAGTGAGTCAGGCTTTTACTAGCAGGGTCACACAGGTAACACAAAGATTTGTGGGGTAGTAAATAAGGAGGAGAACAGAGTGGTCAGAGTGATTTGAAGATATCTTTTTAAATTCCATGCTTTAATCCAATTTTTGGGATAGCATCTATGTGTTATAAATACAGGTCAGGCTATGATCATAATGATCCTGTCTGTCTTAAAATCCTTCTATATATTTATTATAATAAAATGACTCGTCTACATTGGCACTTAAAGATATGCTTCCCTAGCATTTCTTATGTCATGTAATAGAGATCTCATGAGAGGCAAGCATTTATGCTAGCTCAGTTTTTTTCTAGTATTGTTTCTTATCAGGGTCCTAATGGACATGTTCAAACTAATTGTAAATATCAGCACCAATTAGGAGGACATTATATAGAATTACTTGTAATAGGACATAAACCTTCAGAATTGAAAGTGCAGATCTGTTTCTGGACAAACTATTGTGCAGCAAGCACGTATGTATGTGATTAACTTGGAGTTCATGCCTTGGTGTTTACAAGACTGGGGATCATGTCAGTTATCTGATAATCACAGAGCTCATCATAATAAGAGCTTATCCTTGTCATAATTTTTAACGATCTCTGAAATATAACATGGAATATTTTAAATAAATCTTTCTGGAGTAAAACATATGATTCTGACCAAATGATACAAGTGTTTTTAGAAGCCATGTTAAACAAAACAGAGAAAGTTAATAAAAGAAACTTTCTAGTTACAGTTAACCCTAATGAAGATATCCACAAAATACTACACAAAAAGTTTCACTATTCCACGTTCCTCTCTGTCATTTCATTACATACATTTCAAAGTGCAAAACCATCCAAACTTCAGTAGCATGATTTCCTGTTATATGCAATGCCATCACATACTTTAACATAGAATGTTTGACATTTAGGTTAAACTTAAAAGGTCATCCTTTTTTTTCAAATAAACATTTGCAAGTAGAATTCAAAGCTTCTAGGAAAAATTTTTGGCCAAGCATCATATTCTATTGTCTTAAGACATCTACTTCATTTGCAAGCCACTAAAGAATGAATGTGTGCATTTAAATTCAAAATATAACAACAATTATCATCTTTTTCAGTTGCCTGGGGACTGCGCTTAGCTGTGCCAAACCTATTTATTTCAGAAGAAAAACACAAATATAAAATTCAGTGATATTGCAATTCTGAGTGGGCTATAATCATGCTTAATTTACTTAAATGTAAGTTATTTCATAACATTTGTTAAATGATTCATCTAAAAAACTGTTTAATCTAAAAGCACATTTTTCAAGAGAAGTACATCAGGATTATTATTCTTATAAACTCTAAAAAGAAATGGAACTAAAATGTTCTACTAATTTATATCAGCTTAAATCACTAATAGTTTGAAGGGTCAGCAAATGTTGCTAAACTGTTCATAAAAATGCATCTAGTTTTCCACGGATGTAGGTTGTAGCCATGTTGGTCTAAGGACATAGGCAGACAAGGTTCTTTGGGTGAATCTGATATCTTTTATTAGACCAACTTAAATTGTTGGAAAACAATTATTAAGCAAGCTTTCAGGTTCAAAAACCC